CCTCCCCTCCCACCCCTGGTAACCAACAAAGAAAATTTCCTTCTATAGATAAACCTTTCCTTAACTTTTACAATAACGGACTAATATAGTATTTGTCCTTTTGTGATTGACTTATTTGCCTCAGCATAATGTCCTCCAAGTTCATCCATGTTATGCGGTGTTTTGCACATTCTACATTATTCTTTAGCATTGCATAGTATTCCATGGTATACACAGATTCTTAATAAATACTTTACTGACTAAATATATGAATTCCCACGACTGTCAAAAGGATTTAATAATGTATCAGAAACTAAACATTCCTGTAAATTTGTACTTAAGAAATAATTTTTCATATATATTATCATCCTTCTCTCTTTTTAAAAGTGTGGAAGCATTTATCTATTTCTTCCCTTACAGGAGACAAAGGTCACAGCTTAAGAGTGAGTAAGGAGAGAAAAACAAAATTAAGAGATTATCAGATAGGTATTTTTAGCCAGAAAGTTAAAAGTTTTGTTTAACATTAGTTTGAATATACTCAATGGAATGAAAAGAAAAATAAACTTACTTTTTTAAAAACATTGGAAGAAGATGGAGGAAAATGAGGCAGAGGTGTGTAGAACATGTTTGACAAATTTGTTTGAAAAGAATGTTACATTTATACGCCACATTTTTTCATAAGCACTCATAATCTTTATAACTATTATTCCTGTAATAAAGGAAGAATAACCAAATTCCTCCTTAGAGTTACAAAAACCAAGGCTCAGTGTAGTTCATGATCCATATATCCAATAAGAAGCACTTCCAGGGCTGGAATCCTGATCTCCTAAATATTCATCAACACATAAGTGGTTCTGCTCCTGACGGATTTACTAACTGGAGATGTCGTGTGCCGTCGAGTCTGACTCAAGTCACAGCGACCCCTCCTTGGGTTTCAGAGGCAGTATCACTACAGAAGTAGATTGCCCAACATTCCTTCCAAGGAGTAGCTGGTGGGTTTGAACCACTAGCCTCCTGATTAGCACTTAGGCACTAGCCTTAGGCACTATGCTACCAGAGCTCCACTAATTGGAGAAGATACTTTCTTTTTATCCCTCCGTCCCTCCTTCCTTCCTTCCCTCTGTCTGTCCTTTCAGTTTATATACAGGCATCCCAGGGTTAGGGAAGAAAGTCTGACTTAAGGAAAACTACTTGTCCTGTAATATTACATAAATTTTCCCTCACTTTGAAAGGACTGAACCAACTCCTACTTGCAACAAATTCTTCATCACAGTCACTTTCATTTGCTGCACGTGCAGCTTTTAAATAATTAAATAGGCTTCAATCCTAACTAGGAGATTGTGTATACAAATATATGTATATATAGATACAGTATGAGCATGTGTGTGGCAGTGAAAGTGTGTACAAAAACAGATATATCCAGGAAGCCTTCAAGGAGGAGGTGGGGCTTGGGCTTCAAGCAGAATTAGATAGGCAGAGCATGTACCAGAGGAATGGTGTAAATGCAGTTGTGAAAGTGTAAAGTGAGCCCTCCATACTTAGAGAAGGTACATAGGGTAGTTTGGGTACATAGAGTCTATAGGGTACTGGAATGAAGAGGTTGCCTAAAAAATCACAGGAAATCAGTTTAAAGAAACAAATATGAGGTTACAGAGACCTTTAATATCTACAATAAAGAATTTGGATTTTCATACCTGTCAGTCATTTTGAAATTATTTTTAAAGTACTATCATCCTTTCTTTTTAAAGAAATCATATATGAAACACCAACATGCAAAACAAATTAAAAGAGGGACAGTTTCTTGGATTGAAGCTGTTCCCCCAGCTGCCCTCACCCTCTGAGGAGGAGAGTTTTAAAACAATAGTTATGAGTGTTGACAAGTTTTGGGCAAGGAATAGAGAGTGGCATCGAAGTCTGGAGACAGAAAGCACAGAGGCCGGACTGTCAGGGCTGCCAGTGGGAATGGAAGGCAAAGACAGCTGTAGACAGAAGAATCAGAACAAAGGCAGGATGAGCTCAGAGATTCACATCTGGGCAGCTGTGGAAGATGATAGTGCAATCCCAGAAATGGTGAAAAGCAGAGGCCGGGCAGCTGCCAGGTCTGGTGAAAGACTAAGATGTACTTTTAAATGTGTCTTAAACATTTAGGCATGTCCACTACAGCATGCCATGGTCACAGGAATAGAAAGTAACACTTTTCTCTGGGCAAGTATTTCTTCCCTTTTCCAATAAACCAAAAAAAAAAAAACAACCCAAACTCACTGCCATCGAGTTGGACCAGACTCATGGTGAGCCCCCCCCCTTGGGTTTCCGAGGCAGTATCACTAGGGAAGTAGACTGCCCAACCAGCTAGCCTCTGGTTATTTAAAAAACAAAACAAAACAAAAAACATTGCAAGAGTCAGGAAGCTGCACTTTGTTAAACTGAGAAACTTTTAAAAGGAATATTTCACGTACAAGTCCAACATGAAGAAGATACAAACTCCTCAAGGCCACATTCTAAGAGGACTGTTTTCATTTTAGTAACATTTCTGTTCTTTAGACAGTCTAGATACTTAGCATATTAATTTTTATCTCTAAACATTAGTTTCTCCAGTGGCATTAAGTACAATTAAATGATTTATTTCCAACACAGGTGTAACAAATTATTTTTCAAATATAAGTCTTGTGCTTTGAAATCAGACACAAGGAAGTGAAGTGTCTTGAATATGTGCACCTGACCCACTACAGTAATTCTGGTTAAGAGTACTTTGAGAATGAATAACCGTTTTCTGGCAATCTGCATTGAGGAGGACGAGCTGCTCTGTGTTCCTGAGACCTGTGATGCAAGCACTCCCGCCCTTTTCTGGGAACACAGAAAGCCTGACTCAGGCAGCTGCAGCTATTAAAGCAGCTCCAGCCTGCACACTTCCCTGCTGGGGTGAGTGCCACCGCAAAGATGAAGCTAGCTGACTTGTGCTGGCTGAGCTCAGCCGTCCTGGCTGCTCAGAGCTTTTTGGTTGTGGCAAACAATGAAACAGATGAAGTTAGGGATGAAACCATGAAGGACGCCTGCCCGGTGAGGCTGGAAAGCAGAGGGAAATGCGAGGAGGGAGGAGAATGTCCCTTCCAGGTGAGCCTGCCCCCCTTGACTCTTCAGCTCCCGAAGCAGTTTGGCAGGCTTGAAGAGGTGTTCAAAGAAGTCCAGAACCTCAAAGAAATTGTAAATAACCTGAAGAGATCTTGCCAAGACTGCAAACTACAGGCTGACGACAGCAGAGACCCAGGCAGGAACGGACTACTGGTCCCCAGCTCTGGAGCCCCAGAAGAGGCTGCTGACAACAGAGTTAGAGAATTAGAGAGCGAGGTTAACAAGCTGTCCTCTGCCCTGAAAAATGCCAAAGAGGAGATTGACGGGCTTCACGGTCGCCTGGAGAAGCTGAATCTCGTCAATATGAACAACATAGAAAACTATGTTGACAGAAAAGTGGCCAATCTAACATTGGTTGTCAACAGTTTGGATGGCAAATGTTCATCACAGTGTCCCAGCCAAGAACAAATACAATCACGTCCAGGTATGTATAAGAATGTTTCTTTATCATTTGTTCATGAATGTTATATAGTTATGCAGTACCTACAAACAATAACCTGAACAATTAAGCTACAGAAATGATGGACTAAATAACTTTTTATTTATCAAGGTAGTACAGAAAAGCAAATGCCTTTGTTAAAGTGACTACAGAAATGATTCATGACTTAAGTGTAGAAACTATAATCAGACCATTCTGTACTCATCAGAAAGCACTGTCAGTCAAGATCTTACTTACTAATGCTAGACCTACACACAAGCCACTCCTCAGAAGGAAGGTTGGGCAATCCTACTTCCATAGTGATACTGCCTCGGAAACCCAAGGAGGGGTTGCTATGAGTCGGGGCCGACTCGACGGCAAATAACAACAACAACAACACACAAGCAGAAGCAGAAGGAGTATTTCTTAATGTTTTAGTGCATTTAACTCATCTATCTCTTCACTGAGTGCGTGAAAACAATAGAGCTCAGGCAATGTTTACAGTTAAGTTTTGTTCATCAGAAATCAGGTTCTGGAGGATTGCCTTATGGTCGGCTGTGTGCCGTTTCTCAGTCAACAGGAGATCTCTGAAAGGTTTTAGCAAGTGATCTGTAGTCCAGAATCCCAAATATCTAGCAAAAAAAGGGAAAGTTTACAGATGGGATAAAAGTAGCTATGTGGCTTCATGTGTGTGCAAAATGTCTAGCTTTGAGATCTTGTGTCACAAAAATATTTTAAGGGGAAAGTTGTGGCATGCCTCTAAGGGAAGAACTGCATTCTTATTTCTTTAACTCTTGTACCTTAAATCAGAATTCATATAAAACATATAAAAAAAGAACACACCTTCACCATCCAAATTACTTGAACTATCTTCAGTAAATACACACTAAAGACCACACATCTAGACCACCTACTGTGTCCCTGAACTTTAACAGTGTCATTGGTTCCTGAAGCAGGGCTTTCCTCCCAGTTCCTGGAAATTGCTGCTGATGGTCTTTTTACACCATGTAAAGCTATCTCTGAATTAAGACCTCCACTCCTCATGAGTATGAGGCAGAGGGGTCCTGGGGCCCAGGTAGAGAGCACGTTCATTTGGAATAAGTACTGCAGTATGTTCTATCACCCGGGAATGTGCCAGTGAAGGTGGATGGCTGTTCCAAGAACCACAGCCAGCACCCTGGCAGCCTGTACCTGAGGTTACCCTGCACATTGCTAGCACAGAAGTTCACATCCTAGGTGATATTCCTCAGTGCACATTAGATTCATTAGATTTCGCTTTGCATGGCAACCTGTAATGGCAAAAACAAGATTCCACTATTTTTCTACTAAAAGATTTGGGAAAATACCTGAATATTGAGAGTTCTAAATACACATTAATAGATTTTTTATGCCTGAGAGAGGCTTATATTAAACTGATCTGACTCGATTTTTATAAAAATTATCTAGGAGTAAGTATCTTTGATTCCTGTAGAACCTTATTAATTGGTTGTTGCTCTTATGCTGAACACAATCACCTATTATTTCTTTCTAGAAACCAAACATGGGAAACACTGGCTAAATACTTCCTTAGATAATAAATTCAGAATATTAGTGTATTATTGGAAAAAATTTTAATTTTACTTATGTTTCCTTATTTAGTTCTCATACAAGTAAAATAAAAATGAATCTATGATGCTGTATATTAGAATTTTAAAATGTATCATTTGGAACATATTCTATAAAACCTTCTGACAATGGAGACTAGCAGCCCCTTTCCAGGAAAAAAAGAAAAAAAGCAAAACAAAACCTCAGAAAACCAAATCCACTGCCATTGAGTCGATATTGACTCTTAGTTACCCCATATCCCATAGGTCAGAGTAGAACTGGCTCACAGAGTTTCTTAGGCTGTAAATTGTTATGGGAGCAGACTGCCACATCTTTGTGCCATGGAGAGGCTGGGGGTTCAAACTGCTAACCTTCTGGTTAGCAGTCACTAGGTCTCCTTCAGGTGAAAGAAGCCTGTGCTTCCTTTGTATGCATAGAATGGAGCTCTAGGAGACTAGGAATTATTTGACTTTCAAGACCAAGGAATGCAGTGCTTAGAAGGACAAGCTTCACAGCCAGACAGATCTAAGTTTGTGTCCTGTCTCTGCCACTTACCACTTATGTGAACTTGGGCAAGGCACTGATCCGGCTGGAATGGAAATATACTCACCCATAAATTGGGAATAATACCTACATCATAAGGTTGATGTGTGTTAAGTGTGAAAATATTATCAAGTCTTTGACACAGTACTTAGAACATAAAGACTTACTCACTAAACTCACTGCCGTAGAGTCGGATCCAACTCATGGCAACCTCTCCTTGGGTTTCTGAGGTGCTATCACTACAGAAGTAGATTGCCCAATCTCCTTCTGAGGAGTGGCTGGTGGTTTCCACCAGCCTTCTGGTTAGGAGTCAAATGCCTTAGGCATTAGGCCACCAGACTAGATTGTAACTATCACTTTTATTTATTATTGTTATTATGGTTGTTTGTTGCTGATGTTGACATTATTATCAACCAAGAGAATGTCTGAGAATCTAGTTTGGCTTTAATAGCACATGAGGTCACAAAACATAGTTTTAGGGTCTTGTGACAACTATTTCTTAGTCCTTTAATAAACATTTGCCAAACAGATTCAAGTAGGTTTAGTATGGCAAGATTTCATTATTGTAATTGAATGACTGAATTATCAAACTTTGTATATGTAAAGAATTATTCATTTTTTTACTATGAAAATCCAATGTCTTCTTTTTCTTCCTTCAGTTCAACATCTAATATATAAAGATTGCTCTGAGTACCACACATTAGGCAAAAGAAGCAGTGAGACCTACAGAGTTACACCTGATCCCAAATACAGTAGCTTTGAAGTTTACTGTGACATGGAGACCATGGGGGGAGGCTGGACAGTGCTGCAATCACGTCTTGATGGAAGCACCAACTTCAACAGAACATGGCAAGACTACAAAGTTGGTTTTGGAAACCTCAGAAGAGAATTCTGGCTGGGAAATGATAAAATCCATCTTCTGACCAAGAGTAAGGACATGATTCTGAGAGTAGATCTTGAAGACTTTAATGGTGTCAAACTATATGCCTTGTATGATCACTTTTATGTGGCTAATGAGTTTCTCAAATACCGTGTGCACATTGGTAATTATAATGGCACGGCCGGAGATGCTTTACGTTTCAATAAACAATATAACCATGATATGAAATTTTTTACCACCCCAGATAGAGACAATGATCGATACCCTTCTGGGAACTGTGGGCTCTTCTACAGTTCAGGCTGGTGGTTTGATGCATGCATTTCTGCAAACTTAAATGGCAAATATTATCACCAAAAATACAGAGGTGTCCGGAATGGGATTTTCTGGGGCACCTGGCCTGGTATGAGTGATGCACATCCTGGTGGCTACAAGTTCTCCTTCAAAGAGGCCAAAATGATGATTAGACCCAAGCACTTTAAGCCATAAATCACTAGTGCTCATTCCTAATAAGGCTTCAGCACTTTGGAAAATGCCTTGTTTCATACTCCCTTTCCATGGTTCAAAAATGTGTCTCTGAATAGTGGGTTCTTATGCTACACAGCATTGAAATAAAGCTGAAAAATATACATTTTGCTGCTATAATAGTTTTATACAAACAAACACTTGTAAGTAATTAGGAATATTAAGAACTATTCATTAGATTTATAATTCTCTTATTTTTTATTAATTGAAAAATTTTATTACTTGCTACAAAATTGTTTACTTAGTGGGCTAGATTTTACATGAGTAATCTGTATTTTCATTATGTTTAAGTCCGTCTGAAGGTGTATTAGTTTTTCAGGCCACAGTGATTTGCATGGTTATTTGTCTCTAAACAGCATAACTCTCAATTGGAGATGAACACACTCAATTTATGGCATTTCCTTTGGGTCAGGGAGACCCTACAGTAGTATAGTTCCCAGGTAAAGGGAAATAATATCTATAATTAAACATGCTCATGTAATATTCATGAAATGTAAAATATCCATCATTTAGAACATTTTAAAATGTGGTAGCATAACGTCACTCCTAAAAAGAAAATAATGTCATTCATACAATAATGTCATCTTAAAGGCCACAGTTTAACCTTTTCTATGTTTGATGGTGAACACTGCTTTAACTTCCTTTGCTCTGTATGCATCATAGTTTGTAATATAAGACTTCTCATTACTGTGCTAGACTACTGGTAGGCTTTTCTCGAGGGGGAGGCAGGGTGTAGTGAGGGGGTAGTGTTTATAGGTCAATTTTATCACCTAAGCGATATAATATCATTAAGTGATTTACTTTAGAGATAGAGAGCTGTGATAAAAAATGGACTCATCACAAAATAAATTTTAAGAAAAATATCTGCTCATATACACAGTGTCTACTGATTTAATGGGAAATAGTTATAATTTCAGGGGAATTTGGCAAATCTATTAAGCCATATAATACTCAAAAGCTTATCTTTCTATCTTTCCACTATTTCAAAGGATCAAAATCTTATTTTCCATTAAACATTTATAATGTTTCTCTAACAAAATATTCTGTAACAATTCCTCTTTAGTATACCACTCAGTATAAAATATAATCTAGACTCTGATGATCTTTAACATGCTAATGAAAATAGATTATAACTGAGGAAGTTTTTTTTTTTTTTTTGCCTTAGCATAGCTATCTCCTAATATGTATTACTATTCAGAAATGTAGATTGGCTACTCATAAATATATTATTTAAGGCCTTATGTTTCTTTTAGTGACTAGTTATTTGTTACATAATTAAGACTCTGTGTTTCTGATATTTATCATTATATGAAAATACTGACTAAAATGACTCCTCAAAAATTCCACATGGAATCAATTCATCTACTACTGGGAAAAAATAAGATCTTTCAAACTAATAAGGAGTAATTCTCCAAATGAATTGATAGTACATTGGTCCAGTAAATAAAAAGCTTAAATATACAAGCATAGAAAATATCCTGGAAACTAAATTTGCTGGTCCTTATTTTTGAATAGCTACCCAGGATAAGGTTTTAAAGGTAAAAATGATGGTAATGTCATAAATTCTCGTTTAAAATTCTTATTTTCTTTTATGTATAAATAGGTTTATGTTTTATGCCTTTTAAAATCTTATAAAATAAAACATTTAATGTTCACATCTTATTTCCTCAGTGTAGAAATATTAACTATTACTGTTTGCAAAATAATATTTATACACTTACTCTTCTCTGAGAACTTGTATAATGTTTAGCTAACCTAGACAATATCCTTGACTCTTTGAAGACTTTAATCAGTACTTTTGCATGAATGTGAGGCTCTGGTGACTTAGTGGTTAAAGCACTTGGCTGCTAACTAAAGGGTTGGTGGTTCAAAACCACCAGCAGATCTGCGGGAGAATGATGTGGCAGTCTGCTTGCATAAAGATTTCTAGCCTTAGAAACTCTAGGTAGTTTTACTTTGTCCTATAGGGTCGCTATGAGTCAGAATCGACTCAACAGCAGCTTTTTTTTTTTTTAATTGCATGAAGAGGAAGGCAAAGGCAAATAAAGGAACATTACTACCTTATTTCTCTCTATAGTATTTTTGAGATATTTAAAATACCAAAGTTTCCAGATCATCTGTGGCATTCAAGTCCATCTCCCATCCATCATTTATATTGCTGCTCTGACCCAGCCCTCATCACCTCCTTAGGATAATACACACGCTCCTAATAGAAGCCCATGCCTCCAGTTTCAAAATACTCCAATTCATCTTCTGTATCACTGCCACAGGGATTATTCAAAAATATAATATTGATCATGTTATTGTCCTGCTTAAAATCTTTCGATAACACTTCACTTCTCATAAGATAGAATCTGGCAATCAAGTCCCTATGAGATCTGCCTACCTTTTAAACTCTGTTTCTGTCATTCCCACCATACTGAATGCCTTGGTTGTTCTCAAACAAACCATCTTCTCGTTTTCATTGCTTTGCATATAATGTTCCCTTGCTCTAGATGGTGGCAGAGTGATTAAGTTCTTGGCTGCTAACCAAAATGTTGGCAGTTTGAACCCACCAGCTGCTCCATGGGAGAAAAATCATGGCAGTCTGCTTCTGTAAAGATTCACAGCCCTAGAAACGCTATAGGGCAGTTCTACTCTTTCTTACAGGGTTGTTATGAGTTACAATCAACTTGATGGCAAGGGGTTTTGTTTCCTTTTGTTTGTTTTTGGTCTAGAGAGAATGTCATCCTCAGTTCCCACCAGGTTTTGTCTTATCACACATGATTAAGACCTTGGGATTCAGCAGGCAAACTTCCTAGATTTGAATTCCAGCTCCACCATTTGCAAACTGTGCAATAACAGGCAAGTCATTTAAATTTACCATGCTTTGGCTTCTTCAGTTACAAAACAGAGATAAGAATAATATCTACTTTATAGGGCTACTGAGAAGGTTAAATGACATAATAAATATAAAGCATTTATAACATACTTAATATTATCATTAAAAAAAAACCCTCACTGCCATGGAGTGGGATCTGACTCAGAGAGTCCCCTCCTTGGGCCTCCAAAGCAGTATCATACAAAAATACATTGCCTAGTCTTCTTTCTGGGGAGTGGCTGGTGGGTTTGAAATGCCAGACTTCTGGTCAGCAGTCAAATACCTTAGTATCCTAAGTAGTTCTCTCTTCTGAGCAGTCTTTCCTGATGACATTAGGAAGATTTGCCACCTCTCTTCTTGGATCTTATACCATCCTATATATTCCTTGGGAGCTCTGGTGGCATAGTGCCTAAGGCACTGACTGCTAACCAGAAGGTTGGCGGTTCAAACCCACCAGCCACTCCTCAAAAGGAGGGTTGAGCAATCTATTTCTGTAGTGATACTGCCTCGGAAACCCAAGGAGAGGGCGCTATGAGTCAGAGACGACTCGACAGCACCTAACAACCACCACAACAACATATATTCCTTATTATATACTACATTACTCAATAATTGTCTAGATTGCTCCCTGAAATCAATCTCTGCCTGGCTAGGATGTAAAGGAAATCTGAGATGGGAGTGTTGTTACTCAAAATAGTTCCTCCATATGTTGCCATGGAGGAAGAGCTGTAGTCTAAACAAGCCAAAATTATAATTGGGAAAGGAGAGGTTATTGTTAAATCTGAGGATTTTGGGGAGACTGAAATCAAGGAGGGGAGCTCTGGTTACATAGTGTCTAAGGCATTTGACTACTAACCAGAAGGCTGGCAGTTCAAACCCACCAGCCACTCCTCCGAAGGAAGATGGGGCAATCTACGTCCATAGTGATACCACCTCGGAAACCCAAGGAGGGGTCATTATGAGTTGGAGCTGACTCGTGGGCAGTGAGTCTTTTTCGTGTGTTTGCTTGTTTATTGAAGCCAAGGGAGAATATAGCAAAGCAGGATCAGATATACCATTGGATTGGCTACCAAACAGTGGCAAACTTTTAGAAAGGGGTCCAGAAAATGCCTTGGGTAGAAGCCACATAGATGGGTATGACTGCACCAGGCTAGGCACTGATTGTTCTCCTTGACTCAGGTCCTTAAGAGACGGAATTACTTTTCATACTTCTTATAGTATATTGTAATTTTTAAATTAAGTTTTAAATCCATAAACTTTTACATTGTTTAAAATTACAGACTAAAGATCCTTTGCAAACTACCTCCAATTCTAATCTCATCCCTCTCCCCAGAGCTAACATGCTTACTTGGCTGAAACTAAACTCTAATTTCAATCTGTGTACTGTCAGATTACAACATCTACTGAAATACAGCTTTTCCAGGTCTCCTTTATTTATTGATTGGAAAAAGTTGGAAATAAGAATACTAAAAACTAAAACAAAAGTGAAACTCACTGCAGTGGAGTCTCATAGAGACCTTATGGGACAGAGTAAACTTGCCTATAGGGTTTCTAGGGCTGTGAATTGAAGCACACTGCCTTATCTTCCTACCACGAGAGGCTGGTGGGTTCGAACTTCTCTTTTAGATTAGCAGCTGAATGCTTTAACCACTCCACCACCACAGCTCCTTAAACAAGAATACAAATGAGGGAAACTGTGTGTACTTGGAGAACTCAGAGTACCCTGAATTCTCGAACGTGATTGATCCCCCTTTGCTCCTTCAGGTGTATCCCCCGCACACACGTTTGATGAGGCTCCTCTTCCTCTGCTTAAAGGCACTGTCATTCGTTCCTGAGAGAATGATCTTAATTGTCTCTTAGGCTCCTTCATCCCACTCCCTATGTCTCAAGATCTGTCACTAGGGTGTCTTATCCTAGTGCTGCTGCAACAGAAATATTCCAAGTGGCTTCTAAGAAGAGAAACCTATTTTCTCCCAGAGCTCAGAAGGCTAGAAATCTTACTCTGAGCACCAGCTGTGGGGAAAGGTTCTCTCTGTGTCAGCTATGGGGGAAGATTCTTGTCTATTTCAGCCTCTGCAGCCCCAGTGCTCCTCGATTCCTTGGA